CGGTTCAGCCTTCAGCTCAGCAGAGCTCCGCGGGGTGATGAGGCCTGGGAGGGTCTGCACCGCCAGAGCACATGCGGGCACGCTGGCTGAACGCCGTGAACCTCAGGGTTCTTTCCTCAATGGGACTGCGACTCCTGCATTACAGAACTTGGGAAGGATCAATATATATCGAACGAATGGCTGCAAGTGTGATTAGCGCAGGAACTTGAACGTAAGGTGTTCAGTGAACGCCAACTCTTGCTGCTCAGCCTAAGTTGTCAGGTCGTTACTCTGACTCTCCTCCTGCCCCACGCTGTATGCGGCTAAACGGGCTCGGAGTCTGCGCCAGGGCTCACAGTGTGGCTTTGCAACGCTGTGTCACATTCAAGACTGAAACAGCATTAAGGAGTTACCTTCTGAAAACCCATGTTGTTGACATCAGCTCTTCGAGAGAGCTGTCCCCTAACAGGTGCATTTCCTCTTCAGTCACTGCATGCCTCGTTGAGCTCGTTACATTCCGGAGGTTGACGTCACTCGAAGCCAGTGTCGATTGTTTGAAACAATTTGCCTACAGTGTTTCCAGAGACAAGCATTCCAGAAGACACGTGCGTTGCATTAACAGGCATTCTTTCGTGGAGCCAAACCTTACTGGTTAATATGTTTTATTTTAGGCTCTGAGATGAAACCCAGCACCTTCCCAAAGCCGCCTCGGCGTAAACGTGGCTGGGCCGCGTGCGCCAGGCTTTGTCTCCCTGGCTCGCTGGCCGCCTGGCCGTGCTCCATCCTGCTGATGACCCCGGGGGCAGCCCGGGGCACTGCGTCACAGAGAGGCCTTTTCACGCTGGGCAGAGGTTTCTGAGCCTGCTAAAAATAAAGACCAGGGTAACGTCATGTTTCCAATGCCCTGGGTTTGTTTTACTACACAACTCAGCTATAAATACTGCCAATGAGTCTCTGTTTCAAAACCGTGTCTCTCAGTCCCCAAACGAGGCCACATGTCCCTCACAATGTAACTGATTTATGAACACGGGGGAGAAAGAGACATTCTTCCTGGTTTCAGCTCTGCCACCAAGTTTTGTTTCTGGCTGTTATAGTAGGAGTATGCATAAATGTAAATAAACCTTTTGGTGGTTTGGGGCTGTTTGTTTGGGTTAGGGTATCCAGGAGAATGATAACAATGTGTGTCACTTAATTTCTCGGACAAGAAACTGTCACATTGCAAAATGCGGGGAGTTGTTGGTGTCACGGACGGTGCACACGATGTAAGGGAAAAGGTGGGTGAGCTCATCACAGTGGCCGTTTTGGATTGGCCTCACCTGTCTTGGTCTTCGGCCGCGTTCCGACGTGGACAGGCCTGCACGGGAGGTGGTGTCGGCAGGCGTCCCCTCGTCCGGACGCTGCTCCCCCCGGACTCAGTGCAGGGGTGCTGAGCCCCACAACCCCTCTGCCCACCCGCTGCATTCTCTGCCCCTGCTCCGAGGTTAACTGCAGACGGCTGACGCGTGAGGTCTTACCAGGCAGCTGGGACCCTTCGGGTCTTTCCCTGGGAGCCGGGACACCCGAATGCACTGATAAAAGCCCATTGTTCTCCTGCAGCCAGACAGAGGGCACGACGGAGCGTGCTCGCCCCGGGGAGCGGGGCATGCCGTGGTGGGAGGATGAAGACCCCTTTGCCCCCAGCGGCCCTCTGCTGCGTGGGCTGCGTGGGCGGCGGCCGTTCCTGGGGCGGTGCGCGCCCACGGTACTCAGCGCGGGGGACACCCAGGTGCCCGCACTGCAGGCCAGGGGCCGAGGGCTCAGGGACGGGCACCGAGGCCGTGGTGCTGCTCCCCCGCGGGCGCTTTCTGGGCGCTATGTCAACAGCGTGTGCGTGCTCTCTCAGCGACCTCTCCTGCAAGCGGGGTTCCTGCGCCCCGTCCCAGGGTCGAGCTCTGGCCTCGGGAAGTGGGGCAACTTGCCGCAGATCCCACCGTGAGGGACAGCTCGGCCGGCCGAGCGCTGGTTTGAGTGCCAGGCTGCGGTGACTTCGTGTGTGTGTGCGTGTGTGTGCGTGCGTGTGTGTGAGGTCTGTGTCTTTGTCCATGTCGCCGTTTCTCATCTGCTCGTCCGTGTAATCTGGGTGACTGCACGCGAATCTGCAGAATTACTTTTTATGTAGGGATTATGCCAAGGTTAGCTAAACTTTTCAAAACACATCAGCACCTAACAAGTGTTCTGTTTTATAACATTCCAGCTAACTCTGAGGAGAGCACAGGCCAGGTGACTCTCAGGACGTCATCAGTACGGTGACCCGGGCAGGGTCCGAGTTCACTCTCGGCCGCGGCCCGGGAGGTCAGCAGCCCCCCTCCCCCCTCCCCCTGCAGGCCATCGCCACCTCTCGGGCCTCAGACCTCCTCCTGGCCGAGGCCGCCGGAGAAGCGAGGGGCCGGGGCAAGGCCGGGCTGTAAACTTGACTTCCACGGCCAGCGGCCTCCGGCTAACAGGGGGCCTCGGCCTCTGCGTCCCTGCGCCACGCGTGTAGTGGTTCACTGCTCGCTTTCTGGGTCTTTGGGTTTATTGAGCTTTTAACGAAATACTGCACATGCTCTCCCCGTGTCCCCCAGCCGCCCCCCACAAAGTCCTGACCTCGTCTTCTAACCGCACGCCCCCCGAAGCAGCCCCCAGGCAGGTGCCATGCGGTGCGACCCGGGCCGCACTGGGAACGCTGCGGTCGGGCGTGCGGCTCGAGGCTCGTGGGTTTCAAACGCAGGCAGCACCCAGGCTGTGCCTGAACTTCCCCAGAAGTTCCTTCATGTACTGGGTTCCGGAACTCGGTAAAAATAACAGGCACACTGGCTGTGTGTCCAAGTGAACGTGCACTATGCAGCCCATATGCTCGTGAAGTGTGCCGGTCCTCCAAGCTGCCTCGGAGGGAGAGTACGGCTGGGCTGACGGAGTCCCTCACCTGCCGGCTGCCCTGGGGCAGGGAGACCTCCCCCAGATTTAGGCCCCGGGGCTCCTCGGCCCCAGACCAGCACCGGACCCTGTGGCAGAGGTGACTGGCTGGGTCCTGGGGCCTCCTAGGCACTCAGTCTCTGGTGGGGTGGCAGGACGTCTTTGTTTCTTTCTGCCCCTCCCCTGCCTCCGAGCCGCTGCCCGGGGGTGGGGGGCAGGGAGAATGGGGGTGGTACTCGAAGTTCCAAGGGGGTTCGCCTTGCCTCCTCCTCCCTCTTCCTCCCTCTTCCTCCCTCTTCCTAGGCGGGGGAGAGGGTCTGGGCTCCCAGGGAGAGCTGTGTGCTGCAGGCAGAGCCTCCTGGAGCTGGGAGGGGAGGGTTTGTCCTGGCCCCGCCCCCGCCAGCTCACGCCCGTGCGGGTGCCTGGTGGGGGGGCAGCGGGACTGGACGCCGTCCCCCTCCCCTGTGGGCAGCAGCCAGGGGCAATGGGGGGCAGGGACCCGGACGGTGTCAGGGAGCGGAGTGCTAGTCCGCGGCGCGTCTGCGTAAGCGTCCCGCTCTGTCTGTGAAACCGGACAGAACCCACCCGGAGGCCCCTCGGTTCCTCGTCCAGCTACGACGCTGCCGTTTCCTAAGGAGCGCCGTGGGCTACAGGGCCTCGCGGATGGGACCCGCCTGTGCCGCCTCGAGCGCGCGCCCCACTCTGCCGGCGCGGGCTCCCTGGTCTTCGCCGCGGGCGGGGCCTCAGCCAACCTGCAGCTCCTCTGGCGTAGCGCAGGCGGGGGTGGGGGCGCCAGCCTGCCCCGGGGCTCGGGCAGTCTCCTCCTCCGCGACCTCTCTTCACCTACGCGGGCGTGCGGAGCGGAGGCTGCCTGCAGCCCCAGGAGCCCCCCGGAAGGGAGCGCAGGGACTCTGCCAGCGGCACCGGGGCTCCTGCCCTGGGCGGGCAAGTGCGGGGGAGGGGGACTCGCCGGGAGCGGTCACCTGCGACATCGAGGGTCCGGGACTGGCCAGCAAAGCTGAACTAGGCCAGCTCCCCCCCCCCCCACACACACACACACAGACAGGGGTTTCGCCTTCTCTCTCCTCCCGGAGTGCGCTGCTGGCCCCCCTCCGGAGCCGGGGGCGCATTCGTGAAAAACCCGACCGGCGGGCAGGGGCGCCCGGAGTGAAACATCCTCCGTACACACGTGTATCATCACGGGGGAACTGAGGCGAAGTCACATATTTCACTAATAGGACCACTAAACCCTCAGAAGATCGTTTGCAAAAGATCTTAAACTAAGATGGGTTCTTTGAACTTGGTGCAGGGAGTTAGCTCATTTTCCACTGGAGACCTGGGTTTAACAGCGAACAGCCGAGTGCCGCTCAGACTTGCTCCGCCGGGTGCTGCAGACAAGGGACAGGACCCCCCCCCCACGCCATCACCCCCCCACCCCTGGCGCAGCCCCCGCCGAGAGTGAGTGGTCACCGTCCTGCGGCCGAGCCGGGCCGCCGAAGGGGTCCTCAGACGCCAGCGCCCGTGATTGCTGAGATCCTAAGGCAGCGTTTCTGTGGAGTGGGTGGGCTGTCTCGGGGGGGGGGGCTCCGGGGACTGAGGGGGAGCCCACGGAGCAGCTACAAACGGCCGGCTTCGGGGAGGCAGCGGCAGGCTCGGCCACAGGCCTCCGCCCACGCAGCCGGACAGGTGTTGGGGGGCGGAGGCGTCTTTTCTGGCCAGAGAGGAAAGTGGCGTTAGCGGGCCTCCCGGCGGCCCAGTAGTGACCGCACCACCGGAGCTGCCCGGGCACCGGGAGGAAAGGGGGCGGCAGGAAGCGGACAGGCTCAGCTCAGTAAACCGGCTTCCACCTGCCTTGTGGGCCGGAGCGCTTTTCCCCCCGGGGCCTGTCGGCGGGGAGCTGCAGCCCGACCGTCCACGCTTTTCTGGGCAATGTCAAGGCCGGGAGGCCGACGCGGGGGCGGGTGCCGGGCGGGGCCGCGGGGCGCTGTGGGCTGCGGCTGTGCTGCCTGCTGGCTCAGGGCGGCCGGACCGTCCCCCGCACCAGCACCACGGCCTGGCCCGGGCGCAGCGAGGTCGCGTTGGGCGGTGCCAGCGACGGGTCTGGGCGGCCGGCCGGGCCGGCTGACAGCCGGAGCCGGGCGGGCGGAGCGGAGTCCGCGCCCGCAGCCGGGGGGCGGCGGCGGCGTTCCGGCTCGTGCGGCCGCCGGCTACCTGGGCTGCGGTCCAGCCAGCGCTCAGCGGAGCTCCAGACTTCAGCACCCCGAGCGGCGGGCGCGGAGGCGCGCGGGAGGGGAGGCGCGCGGGGGAGGGGAGGCGGTCCGCGCGCGGGGGCCGCGGGGGGCTCGGGCCGGGGGCTCCAGGCACGCTGAGCCCCGCCCCGTCCCTCCTCCCCTTCTTCAGGACCCGAGGAGCCGGGGGCATGGACCAAACCGCGCTGGTCTGGCACCATGACGCCCGTACGCTTGGTGGTGGCTCTGATTTTAGGGGCGCTCCCTGAAGTGGTCAGCTCCGGTCCGGTCCTCGGTTACCCCCTCCACTTCCGCCATCGCCACCCGCCCCCTGCGGTTCCCCACTTTCCCCACCACCTTCGCCCCCTGCAGCGGCCGCCGAGGCCCCCCGCGTCCCTGCTTGCGCGCGCCCCGCGGCCTCGGCCGGCGGCTGGTGCGCTGCACCCGCTCCCCCCGCACGCGGTGCGCGCGTCCCGGCCGCACCCTGGGGACTGCCCTGCGGGCGGGCCCTGGGTCAACGAGACGGACTTCGGCGCCCCGTGTCTGCGCTGGGCGGAGGTGCCATCCCTGCTGGAGCGGTCGCCCCCAGAGGGCTGGGCTCCCCTGCGAGGGCAGCGCCACAACTTCTGCCGGAGCCCCGAAGGCGCGGGCCAGCCCTGGTGCTTCTACCCGACCGCCCGGGGCCGCGCGGACTGGGGCTACTGTGACTGCGGACACGGTGAGCGGCCTCTGGCGGCAGGACTGGGGCGGGCGGGGAGCTGGCCTGGCCGGGGAGGGCGCGGGGTTGCCGGGGTGCGGGGTTGCGGTGCCCGGGGCGGTGGGGGCAGCACTGAGTTACGGGGCGCCTTGGCACTGGACGCCGGAGGTGCGCTGTGTGTGTGGGCATCAGGGCTGGTCTGCGTGCCTGGGTGTGGGCTTGTCTCTGGCTGGCCACCGTGTGTGTACTTGTGTGTGTGTGAACTTGTGTGTGTGAACTTGTGTGTGTGCGCACGCTCACGTGCACTGGGGGACGTGTGTTCTCTGTCTGGATCAGCTTGCCCTCCAGGCCTTACAATATTTGCACAAAAGAGGCAAAGCCAAGGAGGAGGTCGAGTTTCCGATGGCTTGTCCTGGAAAGGGAGATATTAAATACAATGTGGCGGCCTCCCCACGACCCCGAGTGGGAAAATGAGAGACACCTGCTTTACCCCCAGCATGGACCCCTACCTGAAAAAGTGTGGCGGGGTTTCTGGGCCCAAGGAAAGCCTGTAGGAGTGCTGCTCACACCCCGGGGCAGAGAGTGGTCCGTCGCCTGGCCCCGACGGGAAGAAAGGGCGGGAAGGGGCAGAGACGGGAGCGACCCCCGGGGAGAGGCCGCTGCGTGTGGCCGAGCGGCGCTCTCTCGGGAGCGCTGCCCCCGGCTGTGCGCAGGCTCCGTGGGGAAGGGGGGCTCGCTGGCATGGAGTAGGGGGGCTGGTCGGGCGCCCCAGCCTTCTGGGGATGCGGGCACCCCATGAACAGACCTCACGAAAGGGAGAAATCCACTGTACAACAGTGCCTCCGTGGGAGTCTGGGATCTTGTTTAATAAGAACGGGTTCTCCTTTCAGTAGCTGCGGAAGAAAACCTCACGTCCTTCAAAGTGTAACTGTCCCTGAACTATATAACTGGCAGCTCTCCGTCCGAGCTGCGGGGGCGGGTTTCCCAAGGGGAGTCTGACCGCAGAGCTCCCCGGGTTTCAGAGGGGGTTCGGAGGTCGGCTCTCACGGCGCCGCGCTCCTCCCGCGGCGGGTCTGCTTGCCGGCCCTCCCCTGGCGTCAGTGCCCGAGCCACAGCAGAGCCCGGTGGGGGGGGGGGGGCGCTGAGACCAGCCGCCCGTCCCCCTATGGGATGAAGTCATCGCTCTGCCCGTGGCCGAGGCTGGAATGACAACGCGGCCGAGAGACGTCTGTGTGGCGTGAAGCGGGGAGCCCCCCGGCCTCAGCACGGGCTGAGAGAGCTTGTGCGCAGTGAGGGCTCGTCCGTTCGCGTCCGGCAGACACTGGCGGGTTCCCGTCGTCCTGCTCTCACTGTGTTCCATAGTTTGTGTGTGGATGCAGAGAGGGGAAAAGGGACATTCAGAGCTGAAACACTGTCGTGGTTTGTTGCTCTCTGAGCCTTTTTTAAAATTATGTTATTGCTGTTCAAGGACAGTTGTCTGCATTTACCACCCACCACTCCCCCCGCCCCCGACCCCAGCCAAACCCTCCTCCCTCCCTCGCTTCCCCCCTCCTTGCTTTTGTCCGTGTGTCCTTCATAGCCCTTCCCGGAAACCCTCCCCCTCCCCCCATTATGCCCTCCCCCCTCCCCCTGGGTACTGTCAGATTGTTCTTAATCTCAGTGTCGTTGGTTACGTTTTGCTTGCTTGTCTGTGCTGCTTGTTGATTAGGTTGCAGTTAAGGGTGAGATCATACGGTATTTGCCCCTCAGCGCCTGGCTTACTTCACTGAGCGTGACGCTCTCCCGTCCCACCCGTGCCGTGGCAAAGGGTGGGGGGTCCTTCTGTCTGCCTGTCTGTCTGCTGCACAGAACTCCATTGTGCGGATGCGCCGCAGGTGTCCGATGCACTCATTTACCGACTCTGCCCTTGCGCTCCGAGTGCGGGCGCGGCTGGCCCCGCCCCGCCTCTCACCCGCCCCCCACCCCCGGGGTCGGGCAGAGGCTCAAACCTCGCGGCAGGGCAGCCCCTGCAGGGCCTTGATGCTCGTGGGGGACCCCCAGACGGAGCCCCAGACCTGCAGGACAGCCACGTGCGCTTCCCGCGGAGGCAAGGGGCCGAACAGCGGAGACACGAAGGAGCCAGCGGGTGGGACGTGAGCGCCCCCGCCCCCCGAGTGAAACCCCCGAACCAGCGACGCCGCCCGCTGGCTACGGGACCACTGAGAAGTGCTTTCACAGACGGGGGGCAGCGGGGCCGTCACTTGTGTCTCACTCGTCGGCCGGGAGCAGCCCACCCCCTCGGAACGCCTGGCCCGCGGCGGCCCGCGCAGGGCTCTCCGGTCCCCCACTCCCGGGGGGGGGGTGCGCGGAGTGTTCGCGGCGTGGGGAGAGAACGTGGAGCGGGGCTTTAGAGCACACCGGGGCCGCCTCTGGGCGCCCCTCTCGGGAGGAGGGCCCTTACCCAACAGGCAGGTGCACTGGAGGGGCCGCGGCTCTGAGCCCGCACGGAGACAGCCCAGCCCAGGAGAACCGCGGGGCCCGCATGAGAGTCTCCTCGTGAGACCCCCACAGCGCCACCCAGCGCCGCCGCGGGGAAGTGCGCCCTCCCGGCCGGTCTGCCCGAGCTCCGTGGTGGCAGGGCCTGTGGAGCTGCCCCGGGGGTCCCAAGGCCCTTCTGTAGCCCGAGGCCCGGTCTCGGAGGTCCAAGCACGGACTGGCGCGTGTTCGGGCTGGCGCGAGTGATTTCCAGTCTCTTCTGATTTAAAAATATCCAGGGTTTTCTTCCTTCTCTTTTCCCCGTGCAAACAGAACAAAGACAAAAGGAGAGGAAACTTAGAGTCGTGAGATCCCTCCGTCCAAAAGTGCTCCGGGGGCCACAGCCGTATATCCAGTTGCACCGGGAGATGAGGAAGCCGGTTGGGGAGGTAGGGGAGGTGGCAGGTAGGGGAGGTGGCAGCGGGGACCTCAGCTGAGTGGGGCAGTGCCGGGCCCTCCGGTGGCCGGCAGTCCGAGGAGCAGGAAGGCGAGGCCGGCCCTGGCCAGTCCACTGCAAAGGGTCATTGCAGGAGAGGCCCCCGGCTCAGCCCAGAGAGTGAGTCCCCAGGGCGGGTCCCCAGAGGGTCCCCGGAGAAGTCATGGCCTGAGCTGGCTCGGGAAGGCATGCTGCTGACCAGCAGTCAAGGTGATGGAGGCGCTGGGGACCCTTGGTCACTGTCAGGGGAAACCATGGGTGGCGGCAGAACCCACCTGAGTGAACGTGAGGTGTGGGTGACCCTGTGGACCCACGGCGGCCCCCGTTCTGGGACGGTCCTGCTGGGGGAGGACCAGGCATGTGGCACCTCGAGTGGGGTGTAGAGGACCTCACCGCAGCTGCTTCGTGGCCCGTGTGGGGTGCTCGCAGCCGGCTCCTCCCGCTCCTGCAGGGAGGGTGAGTGGGCAGCACAGCTGACTGGGAAGGGAGTCGCCCAAACCCCCGGGGCGCGGCCGAGGGGCAGTGGCTCAACTCCACGTTCGGGGGTTCTCTCTGTCACGGCCGCCAGTGGAACCAGCTGCAGGTGACGGGGGCCGAGGGGGGAACGGGTGCAATAAGCGATGCTGCCCCAAGTACCTGGGGTTTCCCCAGAAAGCCCGGTGCACAGCTCTGACCTCGCCTCACGTCGTGCCAGTCTGTGCATGCGCACCTACCCGCCCCTCAAGTCTCCTGACGCAGAGACAGAGCAGGAGGGGGCCTGGGTCTGCAGGCGCCGGCGGTCCTTCCAGCCCACCTGGTGCTGAGGGTGAGGGCCCCTCACACGGCGGGCTGAGCGCTGGCCCTTCTTTAGAAAGGCCACATCCCAATGCTGTGTGGCAGGCGCCGAAAACCATTTACTGGCAATACCAGATTTGATACCTTTCCTGACTACATTTTAAATACTGAGCTCCGTCTGCTTCCCAGGCTAAGGCAGATATCTCGTAAAACACGTTGATTTCCAGAAATACACCCACATGTACAGTGCATGGCGGGTGACGATTGACAAAGGAATACAAATCCCCGGCGGAGAGAGGAGAGCCTCTTCAGGAGGTGGTTCGGGGAAAGCTGGAGAGCCCCACGCGGAAGAATGAAACTAGATCCTAGTTTGCCCCGTGCACAAGAATAACTCAGAATGGACCAAAGACCAAAACATAAGTTCCAAACAATACATTACACAGCAGAAACAGGCACTCAAGTCGTGGGCCTCAGTCTTAGGGGAGATTTGGTGACTTTGACCCCAAAGGCAATAGAAGCAAAGGCCAAAATAAGCAGGTGGGACTGTATCAAACTGAAAAGCTTCCAACCGAACTGGAAGGCAACCGAGCAGGAGACGATGTTTGCAAACAGCAGCTCTGGCAAGGGGTCAATATCCCAAACACACCAGGAACTCACACAACTCAGCACCTCGAGGGCGGGTGACGCAGCTGGAACCCCGGGGCGCTGCCTCTCTGCAGGTTCTGGCCTTTGCTCTGTGCCCAGGCTGATCGGTGCAGTGCCGAACACGGTCAGGTCTGGGAGACGACAGTTGTTTTTCTTTTGGGACATTTATCTACTTAAAAAAAACTCTTTCTAATCCGTATAAGCTCCCCACCTGTTTAAACTGTGGTTGCAAATACACATTTGAGGTCATGTAGAAGCATCTGCAAGACACGGAAGGCTGGGATGGATCTGGAGGGAGACTGAACAAGGAGGCCCTCACCGGCCACTACCTGGGCACGAGGGAGCACACGGCTGGACTCGGTGCGCCCCGAGTCCCCGGGGAGGCGCAGCAGCCGACCTGTAGCGCGCTTCTCAGTTGGGAAATGACGCTCGGTGCCTGGTCATCTGGAACCCGGTGCCTTCCGCCACGGGCAGGGCAGGGGCGTGCCCAGGGGTCTGGGTCGTAGGAAACAGCAACTGCCACGAAGGCGCCTGGACTTTTGTTTGTCTGCGAGGGAAACACAGCCGGCCACCCCACCGCGCTGTCTCGCACGCGATTTTGTGCGTGTGTGTGTGTGTCGGCAGGGTGTGGGGCGGTGACTCAGCTTTGTCCCTGAGCTTTTCTGTGTCCTCACGGTCACACGCACGGCCAGTGAGCCGCGTGTTCTGCAAAAAACCACGGCCCCAGAACTCGAGGCGGTGGACCGTAGTGGTTCTGGGGTGTAGGTGACTGTCAATCCCCCCTCGGAGTACTTTTTCCTGTTTTCCCTAAGCTCGCCTGGGGGTAGGGGGAGGACAGGCGGGGGAGGATGGAACATAAACAGGAAATGTATACACTTTCCCATCACTTTTTCTACATTCTCCAAGCTTTCTAAGGGAAAAGCACACGTAATAACGTATGTAAATGTGTTTCCTACTGTGACTCAGCCGTCGGCTGATTACAAGAAGCTCGTGTACAGTGTTGAGGACAGCCGTGCTGGTTGAACCCTTCTTCACGCTTTGCAAACGCGTGCCAGCTGACATGGGGGGTGGGGGGCACCCGGCAGGAGTGCGGCCACCGGCCGAGCCCCGAGGCTCCGCGCAGACCCCCTGGGCGGCGTCGGAAGCAGTGCGAGCGTCCAGATAGCACTTACCGGGAGCTGTGGACCCTGCGGGCCAATTAGAAGCCCATTTCCTGGGGATCGATGCTTAGCGTTTGGCAGGAGATGCAGCTGAGCTTCCTCGCAGGGACCCAGCCTGCTCTCGGCCTTTTCCCACGTCTCGACCTTGACCCCAGAAAGAACAGGTGGCCTTGCTGCTTCCCGGGCGCACTCAGTGTTGTCCCCCTGCGCTCTTGCTCACGCTGTCCGCCCACTCGTCTATGACTCCAAAGGCCCCCGCGCCCACTGAGGCCCCGCAGCTACCGGCGTCCTTCAGAGGCGCCAGGACACCCCGCGGCGAGCAAGCCGTCAACCCCCTGCAGCCGCGCGTTCTTGATGACCCGGGACCCGGTGCCCCCTCCGGGTTCTGAGGTTGTGGGGGCAGGGGCGCTGGAGCTGCCTCCCCTCCGTGCTGCTGGTGCGGGCACGGTTCCGTCGGGGCACTCTGCCCGCCCGAGGTGACCGTCAGGTAGACGCGAGTGTGTGCCCGAGTCACCGGTGTGGCTCCGTCAGCGATGTCACCCGGTCGTCGAGGGTGGGAGAGCAGTGGGGGGCAGAACTGATGTCCTGGCTCCGTGTCACCGTGCGGGGTTCACTGTCTCCCATTTCCTGTGGCACAGGCCCAGCGTCCCCAGCCCTGCGCCTGGCCGGCGGCGGCAGCGAGCACGAGGGACGCGTGGAGCTGTTCCACGCGGGCCAGTGGGGCACCGTGTGCGACGACCAGTGGGACGACGCGGACGCGGAAGTGGTCTGCAGGCAGCTGGGCCTCAGGTTCGCTCTCCTTGCTCCTGTTCCGTTCTGCTTCGCTTTCGGAACCTAGTGCTTGGTGCCCAGGGGCGGGCACTGTGTGTCCTCAGACGGGTGGGAGGAGCCAGCCCTGACCTCCCCCCAGGCCACCGGCTCTGGCAGAGGGTGGGGAGTCCCCGCAGGCCCCTCTGCCCCTCCCAGAGCTCCAGGCCAGCCCTGTCCCGCAGCGACCCGCCCGTCACAGGATGAACTCCCCCCACCCTGTCAGGCACCTATCCGAGTGCCACTTCTTCCCGCACATGTCCTTTGCCCGTCCGGCCTCTGCTTCCGTATTCCTCAGGTGTGTGTGCAGAGCAGGGGTGGTGGTCAGTGCACTCGGGGCGTCGCCCTGTCTGGGCAGGGAGGGGAGCCCGTGGTGCCCGTTCGGACACAGGGCGCCGCTGCCCCAGAGCTGCCGGGCCCTCCCCTGGTGATTCTGGACCTCGGTGTGGCAGGCCCGAAGGTCTCTCTAGCACGCTGCTGGGCGAGCCTTGAAAACTTGATATTTTTTTTTACTCACATTTGCAACGTCTTCGTTTAGGGCTTTGTGGGGAGGCTCCTCTGTCCAGGCGTCTTTTTGTCCGGTGAAGTATCAGCCTTGACATGTCTCCATTTTGAAACTTGAACCACCCCAGACATACACCCGAGTCCCTACGGTCAGTTAATATTTGACAAAAGGGGACAGAAGCATAAAATGCAGTAAAAATAGCCTCTTCAACAAATGGTGTTGGGAGAGCTGGACTGGTACGTGCAAAAAAATGAAACTCGACCACCAACTTACAGCATGCACAAAAATAAACTCAACATGGATAAAAGAGTTCAATATAAGCTGTGATGCCATAAAAGTCCTAGAGGAAACATTGTTAGGAAATTTCAGATGTTCCACTCAGCAATATTTTCACCGATATGTTTCCCAGAGCAAGGGACATAAAGGAAAGAATAAACAAATGGGGCCTTGTCAAAATAAAAGGCTTCTGCACGGCTAACGAAAACACCAGCAAAATGAAAAAGGAACCAACCGTATGGGGAAGCATATCTGCCAATGACACCTCGGACAAGGGTTTGATCTCCAAAATATATAAAGAACTCACACAACTCCACCCCAGGAAGACAAATAATCCAATTAAAAATTGAGCAAAGGACCTGAACAGACGCTTCTCCAAGGAGCACACACAGAGGGCCCAGGGACATATGAAAGGATGCTCAGCATCACCAGCCATCAGAGAGGTGCAAATAAAAACCACAATGAGAAACCACTTTACACCAGTCACAATGGCCATCATTAAGAAACCAACAAACAACAAGTGCTGGTGAGGTTGCGGAGAAAAGGGAACCCTAGTGCACTGCTGGTGGGACTGCAGACTGGTGCAGCCACTGTGGAAAACAGTATGGAATTTCCTCAAAAAACTAAAAATGGAACTTCCGTGTGACCTGGCAATTCCACTGCTGGGATTACACCCTAAGAATCCTGAAACACCAATGCAAAAGAACCTATGCACCCCGATGTTCATAGCAGCACAATTCACAATAGCCAAGTGCTGGAAGCAACCAAGATGCCCATCAGTCAATGAATGGATCAGAAAACTGTGGTACATTTACACAGTGGAATTCTATGCAGCAGAGAGAGAGAAGGCGCTCCTACCCTTTGCGACAGCATGGATGGAGCTGGAGAGCATTGTGCTGAGTGAGATAAGCCAGGTGGTGAGGGACAAATACCATGTGGTCTCACTTGTAAGTGGAATCTAATCAACAACAACAACAGCAAAATGAGCAAAATAGAGTCAGAGACATGGAAATAAAGAACAGACTGAGAGTGACCGGAGGGGAGGGGATAAGAGGAGAGAGAACGGGAAGGGCCATCAGGGAACGTGTATAAAGGACCCCTGGACACAGCCAAAGGGGGTGGGATTGAGGGTGGGAGGTGGGGGCGGGTGGGACGGGGGAAAATGGAGACAGACAACTGTACTTGAACAACAATAAAAAATGAGAAAAAAATTCAAACCATTTTTTCCAGTTGTTCCTGTGCATTACCCACCTCTTTTTAAAAACTCTGTTTCTATTAAAGTATTTTAAAGTAAAACACAGACATTTTACCTCTAAATAGTTCAGGGTGCAGCTTTTAAAATAAGAACATTTTCTTGCATGGCCAAGCCATCCTAGTCACAGGTGACCGGTAACCCTCCCTGACGACGCCCAGCGCCCGGCCGTACTCAAACTCCACAGCTGCTCTCACGGCGTCCCGGACGCACGCCCCGTCCGAAGCCGATCCGGGGCCTGGCTGCGCACTGCGTCTGAGCTCCCGGCCCCTGGTGGTCCCTGGTGTCGCCTGGCACGCGGTCCCTCGCTCACGGCGGTGTTGGCAGAGCCCTTCCGCCCTGAGTAACTTTAAAACATTTTAGTTTCTCCACAGCCTTACAGACGACTGTTGCAAGATCATTTTGGTGTAAAAAAACATCTTCCTGGGATTGTAAATGCTTTCTTTATTAAAAAATAGTTTTGTTTTGGCCACGGCAACCACCTCTGTGAAACGCTGCAGGTGTGGTGAGACCCCTGGAACCGCCTGCCTCTGTCCCCCACGCCACCCCCGCCTCCGGCAGGAGGCCCGAGGGGAGCGATGCGGCCTCACGGCCTGGTGGGCCACCGCCTCCTGGTGGTAAAGACACCACAGACTTGTCCAGGGCCTTAAAGTTACTGTGAAATAAGTACGGAAACATTCTTACAGCATAAAACGAGGAAATGTTCAGAGGGGAATCGATTCTCCCTTCCTCCCCACGCGCCCAGCTCCGCCCTTTGCGCAGTGGGAAAATGAACGCTGTGATGCTTGTGTGAGCTGAGCACCAACCGGATTTGGGTGAGGTCCCCAGCAGTGAGGGCGGGCGAGTCCTCAGGTGCAGGGGCTTCCTGACAGCGCCCGGCGGGGAGAGTGGGGGGGGGAGCTCACGTCGCTGTAGCGGGGAGAGTGGGGGGGAGGAGCTCACGTCCCTGGAGGTCCGACTTCCGCTCAGTGCTCACGACCGAGCACAGGCTGGGGGGGTGGGGGTGGGGTCATTGTCTCCGTGTCCGAAAGACGCCTCCGGGGCCGGAAACGTTTCAGTGAGCCCCCGAGGTGCTCCGAGCAGACAGGCGTGCACGGGGGGGGCTGTTCGCACACCCACGTTTGCTCCGCACACACTCAGCCTGGAGGGAGCTGGCCCGTTGCCCCGGTCTGTAAACACGGCATTCACACGGTGACGGCTCTCGGCTGCGGGCACACAGACCCGCGTGGAAACCACCACACACTTATTTTTAAAAATGCTAATAAGTGAACATTAATCGCTTCTTTCTGGAGGACTGGAAATGGCTTTCTCTTCTGTTATTATATTTCCCATAACGTCACACGCAGATGCATTCACAAAATCGTCCTTTTGACAATACCATTCGTGTTAGAGTTTCTTTTCTGTTCTTTGAACTCTCCCCACTTCACTGTGGGTGTTAATCTCAGATACCTGTGGGGACAGACTTCCGGTGCCCACGGTACGAGAACCTCCGCCCGGGATTCCAGTGTCTGCGCAGGGTTCTACAGCGTACACTTCTGACTCCACCAAGACACCCTGCCTGACTCATTCTCCTCTCGCCTCAGCCTCCGTCCCACCTTCCCCTGCAAACATTCCTCTGTGCCTCCCTCGGGCGCGCCGCCCGCGTTTCAGACAGAAGGTGGGTTGGCTGATAGCAGCACCGTGTTTGCTTTAACGGTATTCAAGGTGTTTAACTTTCGGGCGTGTCGTAGACGTGTTCTCATAGGAGAGACTCGCGCGGCACCTGGTGAAACCCCTCTTCAACCCCAGCGTCTGCCGGTCAGGACTTCGCCAGTCCTGCGGCATAAGTGCCTGGAGAACTTTTTCCATCAGCGTGTTCTGGCTGGGAGCTCTCCGGACTGCCGCGATGTCGTGGGAAACGGTGGCGGATGTAACGGGCCCCGCTGCAGCGCCGCGGAAACCTCCACCGAATCGCAGACGCCGCGTCTGGAAACTGAAGGCTCAGAGGAACTGCAGATGCCGCGTCCTGAGTCCGCCCTCCTCTCGACAGGCGGGGAGGGTCCCGTCCCTGGAGAGCCGGGGTTCGAGGACGCCCTGTCGCTCTGAGTTGCGGGAGAAGTGGAGTGAGCGCGGATGCTTTGGGTGAAGGGGAGTTTCCGCTGGAAATGTGTTTGGCTGCAAGAGCTGCACGTGGCAGAGGCAGAAACAAGTGTCTCTCTCTCTGTCGAGAAAGGAGACCCAGACAGGAGACCTGGCCCCGGGCTGGCCAGGGCCCCACCCTGGTCACCAGGCCCGGGCCGTGTCCCGCCTACAGTTCTGGCTTCTTCCTTTGGCTCTTCGGGCCCCGAGGGCGCCCGCAGCCGCAGCCGTGACCGCAGGCCTGCCCTCGGCAGGAAGGCGGAAGGGAACCAGGGCCGTCCCCTGAACACCCCTGGCGGGAACCCGGGCGAGGACACCGGCCGGGCCCAGCTCTGCCCCGGGGGGACCAAGGACCACAGGGGACCCGGTCGTGCCGCTGGCCCCACGGTGCCGGCGCCTGCTGCCCGGGACCGGACGCGGACGTGTCTGAGATCACAAGTTCACGTTGCACGGATTTACAGAGCCTGTGCACGCACACACACCCCACCTCGGGGAGGAGGGGCAGCCGGGAGCGTGGCCGCGGCAACATCTGAGGCTCCCTCACTAGTGACAACAGGCGCGTGCGTGTCCGGGCTCGCCCAGCTGTTTTCGCGGCCCGTGTCACAGTCGACAAACAGGGTGCGGCTAGTCCCGCGTGACCTGCGGGGTGGGCGGGCCCGGGGCGGGGGCGGGGGGGTGGGGGGGTCTGTTGTCCTCGTCCGGGAGCGAGGACAGCCCGCCAGCCGCCGGCGCCACCTGACCCAGAACTCTCGTCTCGCCCGCCCAGCGGAGTGGCCAGAGCCTGGACGCAGGCGCACTTCGGGGCGGGCGCTGGGCCGGTGCTGCTGGACGAGGTGCGCTGCACGGGCAACGAGCTGTCGGTGGAGCAGTGCCCCAGGAGCCCCTGGGGGGAGCACGACTGCGGCCACGGCGAGGACGCGGGGGTGTCCTGCACCCCGCTGACCGGTAAGTCCCCGCCCTGCCGCCCTGCCCCACCCCTGCTCGCAGCGGCCCAGCTCCGGCGGGGGCGTGCCTCCCCGCCCCTTCGTCTCTGCGGGGGGCGGGGGGGGGTGGGGAGGGGGAGGGATGAGGGTCTGTAGGGGCGGAGAGTAAGCGAGCCACCTAGCGCAGCAGCGACACCCTAACCCACGCGCGCAGTGAAACGCCGTCTCCCCCTCACCCGCCGCCGCTTCTGAGTGTCCCTTCCAGAGGGCGCGCCGCCCTGTAGGGCCAGAGCGGAAGCAGGACCTTGTCGCACTACACGGTGCCCAATCGTCACGGCGGCCTTTAAGTCCCCTTTCCAGCGGGTGCATGCGCAGTGCTGCGTGTCTGCGGGGAGGTCCGTACGGGATGCTCCGGGAGTCAGCGTCCGCTGAGGTCACGGGCTCCGAGTTCGGATCCGCGCTACCTACCAGCAGAGGAACCGAGGCGGGCGTGGGCCCCGGTGGTTACAGCTCCCAGCGCCTGCCTGCGGGCTGGTGGGGGCCCCCCCGCTCTCCAGCAGGAGTGGCCTCGTTCTGCCTTCCTATTTCCTCCTCTTCTCTGTTGCAGTGAATATTCTGAGCTGCCCCCGAGTCACCACGTGTCTTGCTTTGCAGTCTGAATGGCTGGCACTGCTCAGACTCAGGGAGACGGCAGCCCCAGGGGGTCTCCCAACCGGGACTGAACTCGGAGGGTCTAAGTGGCCGCTGTGGGCTCACATCAGAACGAGGTTTTCCCCCGGAGAGAGCAAGAGCCCAGACAGAGCGGGGAGGGGTTCTGTGCAGACATACGTGCCTGGCGTCATCCTTAGCGAGGACCCGGGGAGCTCAGGCCGCTGGAGTCGTGCTGAGGCCGGTTGAACAAGACGCGGGGGAGAGAGAGAGACCTCGACGGGGCGGCGGTTCTAGTGAAAGGAGAACGCGGTGCCCCCCCCCCGGCTTTGAGACTTGACTTGGCTTCGTCTCCGTGTCTCCTCCCTGTCGCAGAGGGGGCCCTGCGCCTGGCCGGGGGGAAGGACAGCCGCGAGGGCCGCCTGGAGGTGTACCACGGGGGACGGTGGGGCACCGTCTGCGACGACGGCTGGACGGCCCAGAGCACCGACGTGGCCTGCCGGCAGCTGGGCTCCAAGTAAGGCGTGGCGGCGAGGCCGGAGGCCCCGTTGGGTCGTCGGAGCCGGACGCTGGGGTCCTGCCCGGCGTCTCTGTCCCCCCGACCGTGCATGCTCCCCGCCCTGCCTGCCTGCCTGCCTGCCTGCCGCAAGTCGGGGCACGGACCTGGGAACCGGCGGCGGCACTGTCCCTGCTGACAAGCCGCCGTGCCTTGCCGTTTGTCTGCTTTGCTTTCCGGCCACCGCCCCAGGTCTCCAGTAGCTGGCTGGAGCGGGGGAGGGGGCGGGGGGGCGGGGCTTGCTGTCCCTGCGTGCCCGGGTGAGACTCTGCGGTGAATGCTGGCCGTTGTTCCCGCCGCGGTCAGCCCTGACGTCAGCGCGGCTGCAGGGGCAGAGGCCGAGCCCAGGGCTCCGCGACCCCTTGGTTCCCGGGCTCGGAACGTGGCGCTAGTGACCGCTTCCCCGTGGGAAGGACGGCCTCCTTGTCACGGGGCGGCCCTGTGAACGCGCCCTGACCTCACTCTCGGAGCCGGGTCGCTCCGGGGACACACTGCACGCCCCCACACGACGCGTCTGCGGCCGCGCCCCCCGCTGGCCGGAGGGACGGCAGACGGAGGAGCCTTTGAGCTAACGTTTGAACGGAGCTTGCGTCGTGCTGGGCACATCGGCCAGATGAGCTCATCCCGGCCCGAGGGGGAGCTCACAGCACGTATCCATTAAACCTTGAAGGTGTCCTCCATTCAAGCTAGCCACGCCCTGCTCCATGTGCATGTTTTAGATTTGCTGAAAGTGAAGTAAAATATTAATCAGCGAAAGTAAAGTATTAATCAGTTTGAAAAAGAAAGAAAATAAAAAAACTGCCCATCATATTTCTATTCTTACACCATCATTACTATGTCTTGCATGACTAACTTTATAATAGCTCTACTAGTGGGTGTGGGATTTTTCTATCCACATTTTTACCTTTATTTTACTACATAGTCATAATTTGTTTAAATTTATTTTTATTTTATTTTTTTAGAGATTATTTTTTAATTTATTTATAGACACAAGGGAAGGGAGAGAAACATCAGTGTGTGGTTGCCTCTCACATGCCCCCTACTGGGGACCTGGCCCACAACCCAGGCATGTGCCCTGACTGGGAATAGAACCAGCGACCCTTTGGTTCACAGGCCGGCACTCAGTCCACTGAGCCACACCAGCCAGGGCCATAGTCATAATTTTTAATGACAAAATAATTTCCACTGAATGTTTACACCAGGGTTTGCTTAAATTTTAGTTTAGTTTTTTTTTGTTACAAATAGTGCTATCATGAAATTATAAATGCATGTTATTGCTCAATATTTTGAATTGTCGTGGACACTGTAGTTACAATTATTGGGTCAAGGGGTATGACATACTAGCAAATAAATAATGATGTTTAATTAATAAGTACTTAGTAAGTGTCACTTCCTCATAACCCTGTTAGTCCGAGGGCTGTGTGTCATTTTCACAGATTTAGATCCACAAACACTTCTGTTCACTATTTTCCTATTTTTCTTATCGAGGCAACAACTGAGTGACGCAAGTGGCTTTCTCCGCATTTCATTTGTTTTGTCTCACAAACCCACTTAGTGTCTTTTGCACGGACAGCGTTCCCGGGACTCGGTTGTCCTAGAATACTCTCAGTCCTGTCTGTGAAAGTGCTGCGTGGCTGTGTTACAGCAGGCAGGGCTGCGCACACCCTCCCTGCGTGGCTGTGTTAGAGCAGGCAGGGCTGCGCACACCCTCCCGTGTACCTGGGGTCCCTGAGAGGGAGCGCTGGTGTGGGGTGGGAGCGGCGGAGTCTGGGTCTCCGTGCCCAGGGGAGGCCTCGGAGGAAAGGGCCCCGCGGTGGGGACTGCATCCTCCGAGGTCATGACACGTCATTAGTGGGTTCCCCCCCGTTCTGTGCCCCCCCGGAAGGAGAGACACCCGTGTGCTTCGTTGCACAGGCACGGCCGGCGGGCCTCGGCGGACGCCTTCGGAGGGAGCCCGGGGCCTATCTGGCTGGACAACGTCCGCTGCTCCGGGCGGGAGCCCAGCCTGCTGCAGTGCCCGCGGGCGCCCTGGGGCCAGCACGACTGCAGCCACCACGAGGACGTGGCCCTCACCTGCGCGCCCAGCAGTGACGGACACCGGCCGCTGCCCCTGGGTGAGGACCCCCCGCGTGACACGCTCCTCCTCTGGGAGCTCTTTGGTGCAGCTCCCATGGTGCCCTCTTTTTCAGTAATTTGCACCCGGAAAAAAGAGTCTTTTGAGTCTTTCCACCGATGTTATAAAATGTTTCTCTGAAAGTTACTTGTTTTTCCTAGCAGCCAAGTTTCTCCATAAAAATGCTCATGATTACGAGCACCCGAAAGGTGGCACAGAGGCCACCACGTGTGACCCCCGGCTCAGGGGCCCCTGCCCGGCCCTCCCTCCCCTGCTCTGGTGGCCTGTGAGAGGGGGGACTCCAGAGGGCATTCGAGCACAGCGGGAGCCGTCCCCCGCCCCCGGGGTCCTGTCCATCACCGGTCACCAGCCCTCCAGCTCTGGCTGGACCATGTGCCCCAGGTGCCCCAGGTGCCCCCGGTGCCCCTGAGTGCGCTCATGGAGTGAGGAGCCCGCCCATCCTTCTAAGACACCGTGTTACTCTAGAGGCCCGTCGGGGACCTTGCCGGCCCCTGAGTCTGAGTTAGTGCAGACTCACGGCCGAGCGAAAGGGAGGAGCCCGCCCACGTCTCAGACGATTGTGGGTGAAAGTCCTCCTCTGAGCGGCGAGCACCTGCGTGTCCCCCACGGACTCCGCCTCCGACGGGGGCAGAGGAGACGTGAACGGAACCTGTGGGGGGGCGGGGGGGTTGCTAGAGCAGACGAGCCAGGACCTGTGTGCAGCCCCGCTGTCCCTGCGTGACCGTGCGGGTGACGTCGCTGGCCACATCCCCACGTAACGCGCTGCCCTGGGTGGGCGCTGACACGGCCACGGGTGGTCCCCCGCTTTCAGCCTCGGGGCAGGGCCCGCCCCTGGCGTCCCGTTCTGAGCCGGCGAGGCTTAAATCTTCCCGTTTCGAAGAGGCGGAGCTTGCCGACCCCCACAGCGTTAACGGGGCTGGGGACGCAGGCTGTCAACCTGCTCGGCTGTCCCTCACTGGGCTCCGACCCCTGCGTCGCGGGGCCCGCCTGCACCCAGCCGGCACCGGGCCGGGCGGAGCGCCCGCTCACCGCCCGCTCCCGGGTCCTTCCCGACCTCGTCCCTCGCTGCTCGCTGCCTTGCACCCTCTGCCTGGGAGGGCCCCCAATCCTCCGGGGACCCTGTGAGGCCGGGCCACGCGTGCGCGGTGACCTCACGGCCTCACAAGGCAGTGCCGGACGGATCCGGTTTCCCCTGGGCGTCTCCTCGCTCCCTTCTCCGCGGCCCAGCAGGTGTGGCGGCCGCCCTTACACACACCCTGTGCCGTGTTGTGTGGCACCTGCGCCTCCGTTCCGTCTGCCTGCCTGCCTGGCGCTGCTGACCCGTCCGCGTCCCCGCGCAGGTTTCCCCATCAGGCTGCGGGACGGGGAGACCGAGAAGGAAGGGCGCGTGGAGGTCCTCCTCGGCGGCCGGTGGGGCACCGTGTGCGACGACGGGTGGACGGACGAGGACGCGGCCGTGGCCTGCCGGCAGCTGGGCTACAGGTGCGGGGCCTGCTCCCTCGGGGGGATGGGTGGGGGCTGCTCCCTCGGGGGATGGGGGGCTGCTCCCTCGGGGGCCGGGGAGGGGGGCTGCTCCCTCGGGGGTGGGGGGCTGCTCCCTCGGGGGCCGGGGAGGGGGGCTGCCCCGTGAACGTTCCCGGTGAGTCATTTCTTGGAACTCGTGCACGTCACTGGGGTGGGAACACTGGCAGCTTGCTGGTGTGTTTCAGAACTGCAGGGAATACTAAGTAGCGTCTCTTTCCATTTTCCCGTCTTCTCACCGGAAGTGTACATTATGTCATATAAGACAGGCAGCTCTTATTTAATAATAGCTCCTGTGTAACTCTTTTTAAAAATTATTTATTTTTAGACAGAGGGGAAGGGAAGGGAAGAGAGAGGGAGAGAAACATCAGTGTGTGGTTGCCTCTCATGTGCGCCCCCTGCTGGGGACTTTGGCCGGCAACCCAGGCCTGTGCCCTGACTGGGAATCGAACTGGTGACCCTCTGGTTCACAGGCCGGCTCTCAATCCACTGACTCACACCAGCCAGGGGTATACATACATTTTAAATATAAAACTGTAATGTTTAAAAAAGCATTAGTGTTCCTATATGCTAGGTAGACAGTAATAAAAAAAATAATCTCATTTATAGAAGGTACTAAAAGAAACAAACAAAAATCCCAGGAATAAACTCGACAGGAACTGGGGCCGACGTGGAAACCCGGAGGGGGGGGTCTGCACTGCAGCCGGAGGGAGGACCTGACGAACACGCACCCACAACCCCAGCGGGAAGACTAACCGGAAATGAACGTTTACATTAAATGCATCCTCATAAAAACCTTCTGGTTCGCTTGGTGTGGGGGGGGTGGGGCCTGGACTTCCAGGCCCACCTGACGTCACCCCCCCACCCCACCGTGAGGCAGGCTCGGCAGAGCGCCCGAGACCCCCAGCGCAGCTGCGGTCCCAGCCTCGGTCGTCTGTCCACGTCCCTTTGGGACATAAACCCTGCTGCCCCCGCCCGGCCCCGTGCCGTGGACTCCACCTTAGCAGATGCTGGGGGTGGGGCGGGGGCTCAGGGTTTGCTGCAATGTTTTCAACGACAATTCTCATTCAGTGTTATTTCGTGTCAGCTTCAGGGCATGCAGCGTGGTGGTGCGACACCTGTGTGAGTTACGAAGTGTCCCCCCAGATATTTCTGATGCCCGGCTGGCACCGTACATACAGTCACAGGTTTCGCTGTGTCCCAACGGCCCCCAGAGATAACTCGGTGCGCTGCCGAGGTTGGGACCTACGGAGCTAGAAAACCCTAGAGTGGCTTCAGTACGCACAAGCTTGATACATGGGTGCATAAGAGAGCCCTTCGACATGGCAGGAGGAGGTGTCGGGACACTTCCTCTGGGGACAGACATCGAGCCAGACCCCCTTCTCACACCGAACAGAAACGCGTTCCGAAGAGCGCTGTGACACGCCGGGTAAAACAGGGAAACGTTTTTCTGAATGGCGCCATCTCAGGTACGCGTGCTGCAGACGCGTACCTGGCTTCCCGGAGACGGCGCGTCCGCAGCGTCTGCTCCACCTTGCGGAGGGGCACGCTGCGACCGCTCAGGTGCATCGCCGGCTGGCTGACGCCCGGCCCCCCAAACGCTGTGCTTGCAGGGGCGCCGCCAGAGCGCGGGGCATGGCGTACTTCGGCGAGGGCGGAGGGCCCATCCACCTGGACAACGTGGGGTGCACGGGTGCCGAGGGGTCCCTGGCCGACTGCGTCCAGCAGGACGTCGGGCGACACAACTGCCGCCACAGCGAGGACGCGGGCGTGATCTGCGATTACCACGACGGGAGGGCCCCAGGGAGCGGCGACCACGGTGAGTCCCTCCGGGCCCCACGCCCGCCGGGCGCGCCCACCCCCCTCCCCACCCCCAGGCATGAGCCGCGTCTGTCTGGGGCCTTCTCCAGACGCAGCGCGACTGTCCCCGCTCCTGGCGTCCGGAGGGGCTGGAGGTGGCGCTGGCCCCCCCCGACACGGAGGAGAGAGACGACACATGAGGATGGAGGGTGGAGAGGCACTTCCGTTCCTCCTGTGCTTCAGACCACAGGGATGGCTTTTCTAAGTTAATTACAAAATAAAATTAGTTTGTGGGTTTTCTTCTGTGAGATTTAAAAATGTCAGGAAATGGAGAAATAGTCTTTCGGTGTAATATGGTGACAGACGTTTCGTACGTAAATGGAAGAGTTCTCGACATTTCCGAGTTTGGTTTTCATGAGACAAACCCTGCTGTGAGTGAGTGCGTGGGAGGAGCTATTTTGGAGAAAACAGGTTATGTTTCATGAAGAGAACAGTCACTTCTCTGTGTGGATCCAAAGCTCACCGTTCCGATACAGTGGACTTTCGGAGAACCAGGGGCACCTGCACTCGAGCATTCTCCTCTAACCCTTCCCGTACCTGCCGCAGACGAGACGAAAGCAGTGGGGCGCTGTGGGTCCCCCTCCCCAGCCTCTGATGAGGGGCTTTTGAGAGAAGACGCCGCGCAGCCCGTGGTGCTGGGAGCCCTGTGCGCTCGCTCACGCACGAGTGGTCGGTGTGACCGACCAGCCAGTGTCTCCCAGGGGCTGCTTGTGCCTTCACGCGTTATGCCCCTTTAATAACCCAGACCACAGTCACCCCTGGGTCGTAACCAGGATAACCAACGCAGCCGTCTCTGGGTTCCTCCTTGAGCGGAAGAAAAGCACAAACGTTCAGCAGGCGCACGGCGTCTCACTAGGTTTCCACGCAGCCCACTTTGAAAGGACCTGCCGTAGGCCAGCCGCCCACCCCTGACGCACGCGTCTCCGCGCCCCCCGGAGCTGTAGCGGGGCCGCTGCCGACGCCCTCCATGGTCCCGCGCTGCCACCGCAAGGGGAAAGACTGTGTGGGCCTCGGACCGGCTCCCTGTTAGAGCCCCCGGCGCCCAGAACCTTCTCTGAGGGTTCCGATCTAAGCGATCTAAGCCGCCGGTCGTCTGGTGGGGTCCTCTCGTAGATGAACTCCGGCTCGCCCTTGAACTTTTAGTAACAGAGGGTTTTCCGGCCGCACCCGGGTTCCCTTTGTTGCGCTCTGGTGCCTCGCCCAGTGCGAGGGCCCGTGTGCTCAGCCTGAGGGCTCACTGTCGCCGCACACGCTGTCCTGGCCCTGTGCTCCCTCCGCCGGAGCACGCCTGGGTCCCCCTGACGTCTCGAGATCTGCGGTGACGTCCAGAGGACGCTCGTCCTGAGAGAGGAGGGTGGAGTTTGACAGTGGCCTCTGCAGGGGCGCCGTCCTCTGGGGACCCAGCTGGTGCTGACCCTCCTGGGCCGCCCTCTCCTGGCCGTTCTGGGCGACCGACCGAGGGTGCTGTGCGTGGTGCCCGCCCCTGGCCTCCCGCACAGACAGGGACTCGGCGCGCACCTGCCCTGGGTACCCGTGGGCTGCCCCGGAGGGCAGAACGCCGCTCTGCCCTGCAGAGCTGCTTCCCAGAATCCTGTGACAGCCGCTCACTCCGCCGTAGCAGCATTCTTCCCTCTTCTCCGGCTCCGGCTCCTCACGAGCTGTGAGCTGAACCCTTTGCTTACGCTCTCGGCAGGCCCTGTCCCCGGGGAAGCCGGCTAAACGCAGTTTGCCACTTGGGTGGGCGCAGGAAGCCCCCCCACCCATTCACGCCTGAGTCTGTGTGGGGTCGGGTCGGGGTCCCCTCCCGCGGCCGAGCGGGGCCCCTCGAGGCTGCGTGTGCACCTGTGGCGCGGAAGAGGGTCGCGTGGGAAGGGCAAGTGGTTTCGACCACGATGGTCTCTGCTTCCTGTTGCTGAACCCCAAACAGCCTCTCTAGCCTGCAGGGGGGCAGGTAGTGACAAGAGTCAGACCCCAGCAGCCTGGGACCCCGCCTCAGAGACGAGGTGGGAGAGCTCAGAGCGGGTGCCCGCCGCCCGTGGGTGCCCAGCGAGGATGGAGCTGGCTGTCCGTTCTGCGAGGAAGAGGGTCGTGCGACCGGAAGAGAGAGGCTGGAGACGGGGTGGGGAGCAGCGGGGGCGGGGTGGCCGTGCCCCGGCCTCTGACTGTAACTCTGACCCTTCCCGCCCAGCGCCCCTGCCCCTGCCGCCGTCCGTCTGCGGGCTCCGGCCGCCGCGCCGCCGGCAGAAGCGGATCGTCGGTGGGAAAAGCTCCCTAAGGTAACCGACCGCCCCTCGGGGAGGGGCCCCGTCACAGAGTGGTGGGCAGACACGCAGGGTCACAGTCGGGGCTCGCTACTGTCACTGGGGGTGTCGCGTGCCCGAGTTCTTTCGCGCACTAAACACGGACCGCACGGAGCCCCCCCCGCCGCCCTGTGGCGTGTTCCCAGTCCCCGCCCTGACCTCCGGGCCAGGCGGCTGCGGGAAGGCGGTGCCGGCCGCTTCGGCTGCGGGTGGGAGGGCGTGCAGCCACGGATGCCCTGAACTCGGAGCGTGCCCCTCCTGGGCCGACTCGGTTCGGTGCCCTGTGCCGCTGGCCGGGTTTGCTCCCGGAAAACCAGTGCTCCGTGTTGGATACTCCCCGGGCTGCCGGGGATGGGGGGTCGGGGGGGGGCACACCTCCGCCCCTGAAGTGTGAAGAGGGCTCAGTCAGTTGTTTCTGGACTGCCAGCGGGGGTGCGCATGGTGCCGTCTGTGCGGGGCTGGGGGGCACGTGCTCCGGTGGGGGGGTCCCCCGAGGCCCCCACCTCAAGCCCACCGAGTCTTTGCCTTAACGGTGCTTCCCTCTGCTCTCCCGCCCCTCGTGGGCGCGCATGGAGGGCGTCCTTCCCTCGCAGGGGCGGCTGGCCGTGGCAGGCGTCGCTGCGGCTCCGGTCCCCGCGGGGAGACGGCCGGCTGCTGTGCGGGGCCACGCTCCTGAGCAGCTGCTGGGTGCTGACAGCCGCGCACTGCTTCAAGAGGTAGGTGCCCCGCCGCGCGAGGGACCCTGTGCGGGCCTGGGACGCCGCCCGGGGCAGAGAGCCCTCGGGGCCCGTGGGAACCGCTGCGGGGCGGTGGACTCGGCCTGGGGTGGGAGAGGGGTTTCAGGAGCCGCGTGGAACGGAGACGTTTGGCTCGGTCTGGGTGGGCGCAGCAGTGGGTGACCTGGAGTCCGGGAGTGAGCTCCTCGTTCTGCAAAAGTCTCCGCGAGTGTGCTGTGAGCCTCCTTCTGTTACGGAAAAGTCACTCACGCTCGGGGAAGATGATGAGGCACAAACTTTATTACCCCGGGGGGCTCAGAGGGGATTTCCAAATCCTGAGCCGAAAAGGCTGGGTTAGGGGTCCTTTTACATACCAGTTACACAGGCAGAAAGGGAGGGGGAACCAGCTGCTGAAAGCAAGCATTCAGAAGCAGGAGCAAGGTCAGTGGCCTTGAGATAACCAGCTGTGGCCTTGGTGACGGCTCCTTACTTAATTGCAAGTGTTACAGAGAGCAGAGAGCACTTGTTTATCAAAGAAACTACAGAATAGAAACCTTTACGAGACTTTCTTTTCCTGCCACACTTCTGGAGGGACCCACCTGGGTCCCCGTTAGCACGTGGGGCTGACCCACGTGGTCTGGACTGGTCGGGGGCGGGTGGAAGGCTGCCGCAGCAGACCGGAGGGTCAGGGGAGGGGCAGATGCCAGGGGAGGGGCGGAGCCGTCCCAGCACGCCGGCATCCGCCCCGGTGGCCTGCGTCACCTCTGCTGGTGTCCATGCGTGCCGTGTCTGCTGTTGTTCAGTTCAACTCCAGAGTCTCGGGGGAGGGAATACTGGGCGCACGGGGCCGCCGTGTTCTCTCGCTCAAGCTTGTCTGAGAACCTCGTTCAAGGTTGGTTGGAGGGGGAGGCGACGGCATTTCATCCACGCAAACGACTGGACGGGGTGTCAGCCAACCCTGCAGTGTGTATTCTGGAAGCATTTTTGAACATAATTAAGCGTGTCAAAATGAGCGGAGCTCAACCAGAAAGACCCTAACATAGGTCGCCAACCAGGGCTCCTTGCTCTGTTGTCCTGAGAAGCCCAGAGCCACAGCGAGTGCCTCTGAAACCCATGGACACCGGTGGGGGCCTCAGCTGGCTCCGTGCCCGGAGGGACGGTCACAGCCAGCGAGCCGGACCCTCACCCCGAGGAGCCGCCAGCACCGTCACCAGTCCCCGAGTCCTGGGACCCGCCCCAAGTGCTGCAGCGGTGCTCCTGGCTGGGCCAGGTCCCAGGCGGGGCTGCAGGACCTTCCTCGGGGTTCTTGAGGCTTGAGCCTGGAGAGAGAAACCCGCCTTGGCCACAGGAGGGTGAGGGGGTGGAGTGGGGCCGTGGGTGGGTTGAGTAGGGACAGGCCTGGGTGGCCCTTCTCTGGGCTGCAGCTGCGGGGATGGAGGCGCAGAGTCCGGCTGGGACGGGGGCGGTAGGTGGACGCGGGCTGCTCCTGGGCGGGTGGGTGGCTTGTTTCAGGGGCCTGGACCTTGTCACGCAGACAGCGGGGCCCTTGAAGGGGGCTCAGAAGACTGGCCGCGTTGCCGGGGGGACGCGCCACGCTGGCTGCAGCACGGAGGTCGGTGGAGGTGAAACCCGACCCCGAAGGGGAGGATCGTGTGGCGGACGGTCGCCGGGCTGCGGGCGTGGAGCGACCCACGGACCCGAGGCCGCCCGGGACGCGGGCGTGTCCTCCGGGCACGAAGTTCCTGGTTCCCGTCCAGATGCGAGGGCCGTCGCAGCTCAGCGTTAGCTCTTCTTCAGAGGACGGGAAAGACTTTTTTTTCAGGTCGAACAGTAATTTAATGATCTTGAAGGACATAAAACGTCGACCCGGGAAGGGACTGTCTCATAACTCAAGCTTGAGCGGCATAAGCACCAGAGGACACTGCGTTAAAGACGCAGCGTGGAACGGGGGGCCCGGGGCATGCCGACCCGTCCCTGCACCCAGGGCTGCCGCGGGGGTGTGCCCGGGCCGCGGACACCAGCCCTCCGTGCAGCTTCAAATCTCCCGGGAGCCGCAGGGAAGGATAAAAGACCAGGCAGGTGAAATTAATCTTAACGATATACTTCGACTCGGCCGCTCCCAACTAGGATCCTCGCAAAGCACGAGAGTCGAGCTGTTTGAGTCTCTCACTCGCGGTCAGAGGAGGCGTCGTCTGCAGTGCCCGTCCTCATCCTGAGCGTCGACGAGGCCTGGGCTGCCTCGGCGTCAGCACCTTGGCTCCTGGACTAAGCCCGCCTCCAGTTTCCCACAGACACACAGGCGCCTGCCGGCCACTGGCTGTCCGCACAGGACCGTGGGCAGCGCGGGGCTCCAGCGGTGCTGAGGCACTTTGAGGGGTGCTCTCACCGTCGTTCTCGGGGGAGAGGCAGCGAGGGGCTTGGGGGTTCACGTCCAACCTGAGCATGCTGACGAGGCCCACTGAGTCTTTACAGCAGAAACAGGGTGTGGACTGAAGTGAGGATGATTTGACTATCCGATCGTTGCCCGGGGCGGCTACTTCTCACAGTTTCAGGGTGAGGACTGGCTCTGAACCTTGTTTCAGCTGCAGTGGGGCCGGAGGACGAGGTGTGGTGGGTGCAGGTGCGGGACGCCTCTGAGTGCTCGGAGGGGCGGGCGGCGGGCACCCTCGCGGAGCGCAGGGAACTGTCCGTGTCATGGATCTGCGGTGGGCGGGGGGGGGGGCTGCACAGGCTGTCACGGTGGTTGCGTGGTTCCACTCTCTGGGCTTGGGGGGGCTCCGGGACCCCACACAGCGCGCCTTGTCAGAGCCCCACCCCGGGCTGCCGGAGTGTGGGGGCGGCCCACAGCTCCCGGGGGCACACGGCGGGGAAGGGGTCCGGCGCAGAGCCAGGCGGCCGCAGAGGACACCGGCGTCTCTCACTGCACGTGCAGGCGCGGGCCTGGCGCCCGGGGTCAGACCTGCGTGTCTGGGCGGGGTGGACCGAGATGAGGGCTGTGGAGCCTCTCGTCCGTCCGCTTCCAGCGGGGGAGGAGGCAGGAGCGGAGGAGGCCAGAGCCGGGGTTCCGGCAGATGGAAGGAAGGAGGGACTGGGCGTCTTTGCAGAGAGTGGCCGTGGGGCCCGAGCCGGGTGAAAGGGACACGTGGGCAGAGGGCGGGGGAAGGGCACAGAGCAGCGGGTGGGGTCGGAGGGTGAGTCCCGTGGGGCTGCAGGGGCCGGCGTCGGCACGAGGCGCGGGGGGCCGGGCGTGGAAAGAAGGCCTCAGCTCACAGAGGGGCCGGTGGTGCCAGGCGGCTCAGGGTCGCCAGGAGCCCGCGTCCCTCCGGCCTCCGACCGGCGCTCTGCCGCGCAGGTACGGGAGCAGCACGCGGAGCTACGCCGTGCGGCTGGGGGACCACCACACGCTGGTGCCCGAGGAGTCCGAGGAGGAGGTGGTGGCGCAGCAGATCGTCCTGCACCCGGCCTACCGGCCCGACAGCAGCGACTACGACATCGCACTGGTCCGGCTCCGGGGCCCGCGGGGCCGGTGCGCCCGGCTGGGCAGCCACGTCCTGCCGGCCTGCCTCCCGCTCTGGAGGGAGCGGCCCCAGCGGACGGCGCCCCGCTGCTACATCACGGGCTGGGGAGACACAGGTAAGGGGCCCGGCCCAGCCCGAGTCGTCCGGAAGGCCTGCGGAGGGCCGGTGCGTGCGGGTGATTGGGCTCACGCCCTGGGTGCTGCCGGTTTCCCTTCGGGCTCCGGGCGCCTCGGACGGACACCCACTGCCTCGGAGCCGAAGGGGCTGGGGACCCCCTGCGGCCTCCCGGCTCCCCAGACCAGTGAGGAGACAGAGGGAGGGGGGTTCAAGGTGCCCCCCCACGACCTGGGGCTGGCCCATTCCCCGTGCTGTTGCCGCAGCCGCCCCAGCAAAGGGCCGTGGTGCCGGGCAGTTTGCGTCCCTGTCGGGGAGCCCGTGGCCACACTGAGTCCTGGGCAGGATTCCTTACTGTGGACCGAAGGCCGGCCGCTGAGGTGGGCGTGCAGGAGCCCTACCCACCGGGTCCTCCTTCAGCCCCCGCCCCCCCAGTGCTCCCCTCCGAGTCCCAGCGGGAGCGGGGTTCTCAGGCGCACAGGCCCCTGGGACCGCAGAGCTGGGTGCACCCAGGGGAGGGCCCGGCCCACGGGTGCTTCGGGAATAAGGAGGGATGGCGGGCTGATCGCTCCCCGTTAAAGATCCTCTGCGCTGGTAGCAGCTGGGAGGAGCATCAGACACTTCTCCCCGCAGGGGGAGTCCCAGCCGGGTGATGGTCCGTAACCGCCGGTGGTTCCGTGTCCGGTGCACCCGTGCTTCCCTGCCCGCAGCAGTGAGAGGGCCTCTGTGGCGGGTGCAGGGGCCCGGACAGGCACGGGCCGTCCTGAGAGCCACCGTGGCCGACGACACGTGTCCCGGGCGGTGTGGGAGTCGGGCTGGAGCAGGGACCTGCATGCTCGGTGCACCGTGCGGATGGGGGGCAGCCCAGTGCCGAGAAGGTGCACGCTCACGTCAGGAATGTCAGTCACCTTCCTGTGGACACGGCGTCTGAGACAACAGAGATGACAAGGGGGGAGATTTCACAGCACGTGTTTTATTAGGGCGAGCTACTCCGGATCAGCACGCAGGGTCAGAGACAGGGGTGGGGTTTCGGTGTCACAGAGGACATCGCGGGGACCCGCCACAGCCACTCAGCCAGGGAGCGGCTTCCGCAGCACACGGGGCCCGTGGGGTGGCGGCAGTGCAGCCGGTCCCTACAGGGGCAGGCCTCGTTTCTGAGTCCGCTTTGTGGAGACAGTCTCCATTGGGGACAGTTACTGCCACCGTCTGTCCGTGCTCACACGGGACTCACTTATCACCGACCCTCCAGTCAGTGAGGCGCGTGGGTCTCAGAGGGGCAGGAGGGCGGGCCGACACCACGCCAGCTGGGGAGCGTCCTCGGCCTCCAGGGGAGGAGTTCAGGTGCTGGCTCCCGCGCACATGCTCCCTCCGCACCAAGTCCACGGACACCAGTCGGCCCCTCCCAGAACCTGGGTGGTGAGCGACAGGCCGGTGAAGGGCGTTGCGGAGGCGCTGGGTGCAGGCGGGAAGGCAGGGCCAGCACTGTCCACCACTGAAGCTGCACTAGTGTCACAGCAGAGCTTTTGTTGTAAAGACCCCGCAGTGCGCACGAAACCGTCACCTGTAGCTCTGTCCCGCAGGCTGGCTCGCCGGCTGGCAGCTGACTGACGCCGCTCTTTGCTTTGAGCAGGGCGGGCCTACTCCAGAACTCTGCAGCAAGCGGCCATCCCCCTGCTGCCCAAGAGGGTCTGCGAGGAGCGCTACCAGGGCCGGTTCACGGGGCGCATGCTCTGCGCCGGGAACCTCCAGGGACACAGACGCGTGGACAGCTGCCAGGGCGACAGCGGAGGGCCCCTGGTGTGCGAGCGGCCGGGGGCCGGCTGGGTGGTGTTCGGGGTGACCTCCTGGGGGTACGGCTGCCGCGCCCAGGATTCGCCGGGCGTGTACACCAAAGTGTCGGCCTTTGTACCTTGGATAAAAAGTGTCACCAAACTGTGACCCACGGGAACCTCAAGGGGAAACAGTATTTAAAGAACCTGTTGGAAATTTTCGACCTCCACCTGGGTACTCAGCCAGAGCAGCCAGCAGAAGGGGACCGAGGTCCCCTTGTGGCTGGGGTGGAAGACTGTGCCGCTCCCATGCCCGCGACAATGTGCCCCGTGGGCGGTGGTTAGAGACCTCAGTGCAGGCTGGCGGTCCCTCATGAGCCTCGTCACCGCCCCAGATGAGTTTCCGCAGACACCAAACTTACTCTCATTGGAGCCTTCTCTCTGTCTGCCGGTTCCTCAGAATTCTCGGGAGATTATTGTGTGTATCGATCGTGCAATACGGCTCTTTTTACCTTTATGGGGGAACTTCTTGAAACTGAGTCACTGATATGTGGATTCCTATTACGTGCCCACATTTGACGTGACCCTCAGGCATCTGATCTCTGTAGACAGTCACGTGAGCACACCCAGGGCCAGGAGGTGCAGGGATTCTGCTCCGTTCCCAGACTGGGACAGGGTCGTCGTCACGGTGCACTCCCGACCGGTGCTTTGTCCTGAGCACCGTGGCCACCGTGAGGACAGTGTTCTGGCTACCTTGTGTGTTCTCAGCGAGGTGTGGAGGAATTCCTGGTGACGCAATCAAGAATGTCTCCCAGTTGTTGGACACACCATCTAATTTATCCGTTCTGTTAGTTAACACCCCTACTCCGGTTCCTTTTAACCATTCCAGACTGATAACTGGGTAAAATAAATGTTTATTCCACAGCATTATGCTGTTTTCTGCAATACCTGAGTGCTATCTGTTGAGCAACTTTATGGCGATTGACTCAAACCTGTGGGGTTCCTAAGGCTAGGCTGGTGGTCCCGTGTAATGCACTGAAAAGGTTTTCCAGCCGACACAGTGGGGGAAGACTCAGGCAGGGGTGTCTAGCCCGTGGCTCTGTGGGCTGCGTACAGCCCAGGATGGCTATGAATGCAGCTCAACACAAAGTCATCAATTTACTTAAAATCTTTTTTGCTCAACTTCTTAGTGTTTGTGTATTTAACGTGTGGCCCAGAGATGCCAAAAGGTTGGACACCCAGCTTCCATCTGGGGTCACTCGCCCACTGGTTCTGGGCTGGGGCACCTCACTGCACTGTTTACGGAAAGCTACCGGGTTTCCCAGTACCCCTAGTTTCTGAATGAGAACTCGGGCCGAGAGGGGTCAGGGTGAGCGAGCTGGTGAAAGGCTGTGACTACAAACTCCCAAGGTGGGTCCCAATACCGGTGTCCCCCCAGCCCCAGCCCTCCCCCTCTGGCGCTCTCAGGACACAGGGAGGGACAGCTGCTCACTCCGGACCTTGGCAGGACTTTCTTGCTGGCAGTGCCGTCCTTGCCCCCATCTCAAGGGCATGCCCCCCAGGATGCTGGAGTAATCCCAATCCCCCAAATCTGAGGCAGTTTGCAGTTCTACAGCCGAGGAAGAGAGGCATAAAAGGTGAAATGGTCCTAATGAGAATTTCAGGATTAAGAACCGTTAATTCCCTTCCCCATCGGATTGTCCTCTTTGGTAAACCCTCAGCTCTGTAAAGGAACTGGTGCTACCCCAATGGTGCTTCGCTCTCCAGTTGTGAAGCTGGAAATAGCAACTCTAACACTGCACCTGTCCTAAAGCCCAGTTTTGAAAAGGGAACCTTCCCAAGGGTCTCCATTCAGAGACGACAGCTGCAGACCATGTGTCCGCATAAGGACTTGGGAAGAACAGGCCCTGACCGGTGAGAACTTCCTCCCAGGCTGCCCTTAGGACTCAAGCACAGCGCTGGTGCAAGCGACAGACACCTCGAAACTGTTAACACGTGGCATCCAGGTCCTCCAGCTTTGAAGACAAACTGTGGATTCCTAAAATATGCCTTTATTCTAGCTAATTTGATAAACATGTGACTTTTGTAGGATACCAGCTTTCAGTACCCATTTGTGTAAATAAAGTGCATAGCTTTTCACCTTGTGCGGTTGCCTTAGTCTCTTCTGTGGTTGGTGCACAGTGACTGCTGTCTCCCTCTGGGGTTCCCTGGTTGGCACGCATCGTCACCCCCATGTGCTGCAGCCCCTCACCATGCCCCCCCCACGCTCCTAGCAGCAGAACAGAGGGCCAGGGGGCAAGTCGGTTCCCTGTTCCCTGCACTACCTGCCCACTTACTAAATCAGCCAGGGCACACTGAATGTCCAGAAGAATCAAGCATTTTATTTCATTACAAGGAAGCACCAGCTTACACTCTTTGATAGAGTAACATTCAGGCCTTGATAGTTTCCGAAACGTTCTTTTGTTTCCACAACACCACTTGCCAGTCAGTCCAGGAGCTGTCGAGACCCCCCTCGTGTCGCTGGATTTCTAAGTCCCTGCAAGAGAAGGACAGCTTTACAACTCACAAAGCTGAGATATCAGCAGGTAGTCCAGTTACTTCCTATTTATTCGGCTAATTATTCATTCCAGCTACAAAATGGCAGCAAACGGGCCAATGCCGGCCTTCCAGGTCCTCTGCACTAACATTAGCTCTGAAACAGGAATAAAAAGCAGCGCACCTCGTTATGTTTTCCGCCACCCATCGGAACAATGAGTTCGCCTTCATGGAAACACTTGAAGAACAGATCTCGGCGCAGTAACAGCAATACACCCAGCACCCTCCCGTTAACAGTGAGAATGTCACTTGTGCAAGTCAGAATCTGATACCAATTAAATGGTGACAGCTTTGCCAATAAACAAGAATATGCTCTTCCATGGCTAGGAAGGGAGACTGCCACAGGCGACAGGTCCCAAAGACACATGGACACCCACAACCGCGAAGTCACCAGCCGGCGGGAGCCGATCCCACTACTCACCAGGGGGCTCGCTCTCGAGTAGCCGGCGGGCCGCAGGGGTCCGGGCCAGCCGCGGGGAAGCAGATTCACGGGGCCACGTGGCGCCCAGGGCGGACTCGCCCGGAGCGCTGGGTGCTCGCCAGGCCAGAGCGCATGCGCGCGGCCTGGGCCTCAGCGTCCAGGGCTGCACGAGGCGGCCGCGCGACCCAGGCGGCCCCCGAGCGCGCTCAGGCCCCCCAGCCCGCAGACTGCCGCAGCTGCCCTCGCCCCCTCACTGCACGCCCCCCGGGCCCGCTGCATTCCGACTAAGCCCAAAGGCTCCCTTCTAACCGCCATCTCAGCGCACAAAACACGAAACCCCAGAGTGACCCACGCACGCCGCCGCCGGGATGGGAAAGGGTGAGCGCTTCTGCGCACGCGGTCTTATACAGAGGATGACGCCATTCCGGGGACGCGCCGTGGTGGGCGGGGCCTAAGCGACCTCTGGTCCGCCCCGCCCCGCCCCGCCCCTCCCAGCTCCGTCCCAAGGGCTTCCAGTTTATCTCCCTGTCCCCCACGCCCCGCCTCCTGCCACCCGTCAGCTCTCCGTGCTTGGGAGCCGGCGCACGCGCACACCGCGGAGCCACTCCGCTCTCGCGAGAACCGGACCTCCAGCTGCTGGCGGATGCCGGCTAACTGGAGTGGGCGGCGCGCTAGTTCCCAGCTTGTTGCAGGGTAGTTACGGTAGAAACGGCGGGCCGACGGCTCCCCGCGTGTCCCCCTTCTGGTGGGTTAGTTCACGCGGGACGAGCTGGTCTGCCTGTGAGTGTGGAGGGGCTGCCCTGCCGCAGGTGCCGTGTGCGCGCGGCCGCGAACGCCGCCGCCGGGCCGGAGCGCGCCGGGCGGCCCCGCAGGTGCGGCCCGTCTGTCCTCTTCCCTCGTTTAAAAGTGCAGGCAGAGCGGACACGGGGCGTTGTGTGAGTCTCAGGTGTGCGACGGACACAGTGACGGGTGTTTCGTGGGCCGTGAGGGGACCCGCACACCGCATCTGGTTAAACTCAGGCCCACACGTGGCTACAGCTTTTTTGTCCCGAAAGGACCTTCGCGACCTGCCCCCTTGGCGACGTTCAGGCAGACGGCGCACGGGGTGACTATGGCAGATAGTCGCCAGGCCGCGCACCAACCTTCCTGTAAACACAAAGCTGTTGTGCAATGGAGCTGAACGCTGAACGCACTCGCGACGCTGCCGTCTGGGATGTCCCCGTGTTAAGCAAAGCTTTAGTGGTGGTTCCCATCTACCGTCAGCGTGCAAGCTGTGGCTGAGATGGCAATACACGTGTGGGGCTTTGAGGTCGAGCCTCATGCGCGTATCCACTGTGACGCCGCATCTTTGGGACTTGGAACACTCAGGAGAGACTGAAGCAGGAGGCCACACAGGAAGAACGGGGCGACTGCAATACTGTCACTGGCCAGCATTTAGTATCCTGGTTGCCAGGAAACGCCTTTTACCAATGAGGTGGAATAAATAGTAAACTGAGGCAGGGAGGAGGAAGGAGACAAATCTCACAGGCTAGCTCAGCAGTCCTGAGCCTGGTCTGATAATATTGCCAGGTGTTCCAACATCACAAGAAACACTATGTTGGCAAGCAAGCAAGAAAGTCCTTGAAATTCTATGTAGCATTTCCACTATCTGGGAAAGAAAGCCTTGAAACTGTGCTTTCATCCCAAGGCCTGAATGCGGGAGAGGGTCCCCCCCGGTGCTCAAAGAAGGAGCCCATAAAACAACTTTGGTTAATTGCCTACCTCTGGTCACCATCTATTTTACGAGGGAGTCCCTGATGCTTACAGAAAAAGCCCATAAATAACTTTGGAAAGTGCCCCAGTTTTAACTAACTGTCATGTATTTGTTTTACAACAAGATGGCCAAGTATGGTTTGGAGCAAGATAAGGGTTCAGGCCAGCAGACCTGCAGGAAAGCTGGCACCACATTTACCCATTAATGAATATGTGACTTTTCCCCCTCCTATCCCACCAACTATATAAGTCCTGAGAACAAAGGACTTGCTCTCTCTTGGGAGCTCAGGGTGCTCTTGGCTCTCAGGCCACAAGGCCTCTGGCCACCCGGCCTCAGGCTGCCCAGGGGCTTGCCACCCTGGTCTCCAGCCTCTCTTGCTTTTCTCACCCTGCTTTGCCCTGAAACTTTCCCTTTCACCCCCTCCTCTACCCGGTCCTGTTCTCTTCCATGGGAAGCGAGCCACTAATAAACTGATTCCATACTACTAGATTTGCTGACATGTAATTCTTTACATGCGTCAGCAAGAAGAACCAGGTCTCTCCGGTCAGCAAGCTCATGTGGCAACAGGTCAAGTTAAAAACTGATAGTGAATTAGAAGGTGTTCAGACTGATCAAATGAAGGCTGGGCCACACTTTAATTCTGTGTTCGATACATGAGCTGAAATAGTTCATCACAGACACTTATTCTTCATTGGTGCCACTTTCCCTCCCTGCTTGCTCCTGCGGTTTCGGTGTGGAAACTGGCGGGGGGGTCATCAGAGACACGGCGTCAGCTGCACACCTCGCATAGGAATGTGCAGATGAGCTGTACGGAATGGAGTCAGGAAATGGCTCGTGGGCTGCTTGTCACTTAACATGCGAGGGTCCCGGGGCACCAGCAGTGCGCTGCTGCTGCTGCTGCTACTGCTGCTGCCACTGCTGGGAAGGTTGCTACAGGAGCACAGTGCCCACAGAAGGTGACGAGAATCGCCCCTCTGTCTAGGGGTGTTCCTCTTAGCTCCGAGCACCGCTCAGCTGGTGCACACTTACAAGGCCCCAGTGTTTATTGTGCGGGGTGGCCCCGGCCTCAACGCTGCAGAGGAATCGAGGTCTGGTGGTGCGAGAGATCACAGGGTTTCCGGGTAATTCAGAGCTCAAAGCCTCGGAGTTAGCACCGATGTCTCCCTGTGCTCCATGTTCAGTCCCTGATGCGTTTCTGCGTCAGCCAAGGCGCCGGTCGTCTGCTGCTGGGCATCAGCTGGCGTCGAGGGGGTGAAGGCAGCAAGCGTTCGCCATCTGAGGCAGCTTCCGTGGACGAGCGCTCCCAGAGCACCAACCGCCTCCAGGTCTCATGAGGTCGCAGCTGGGAGGTCGATGGGGCTGCCGGGTTTTCCTCCAAGCTGGCCGGCGCACAGGCTTGGCGAGTGACTGCCACCTGGCTCTCCATGGGCCGCATGAGTGTCCTCGTGGTCTGGTGGCTCGCTGCCCCCAAAGGAGTCACCCAGCAGAGAGGCCCCCATGTTCTTACGCACACCACATGTTAGAAGGGAGTTAGTAAACCCTGGTTGCAATGAAAGGGAAGGACGTGAAGCTCCGTCTCTTGAAGCGTGGATATAAAAATTAGTCGATGAGTTAAAACTGCCGTGGTCAGTTTGTGGCTCCAGACAGCAAGGGTTTCTCTCTTGTCACACTCTCGTCTGATCTACAGACCCGGGCTAACGAGGCCTGCACCAGGTGTCCCGTCTCTAGGCCACGCCTGTGCTTAAAGACGTCTGCTCTGCAGTGGCCCTGGTCACACCGCCTCCTGCTTCATGGCCCAAATCACGTTCACGGCCACACCCAGCTCCAAAAGGGTGGGGAGGTGGAGCCCTACTATGTGCTTAGAAGGAAGGGAGTCAGAGACATCAGTGAGCAGCTCTGAGGACTTCTACAGTTGCACGCTGTAACCACCTCTTCTCCACTGTCACACTACTGACCTAGGACGATAGGACGGGGCTGCCACCCACTGTCCTGACTCCCCTGTCCAGTCGTCCGAGGGTGTTTGTGAAGGATGAGATTTCCCGAAACACCGTTTCCTCCCCGGGAGCCACCTGCTACAAAACTGCAGGGACTGGCCCACCGCTGATCAGTCACGTTCCTAACCCTCGGGGGGCAGGGCCTCCAGTGCGCTGCATGCGGCACGCTGGTTCTCGTCTTCGCTCCTGCACGCTCGTGGCGTGGACTGCGCTTCCCCTTCCTCCTGCCCGTCCACGGGACCCCTCTAGGTCCTTACTTGTATTTTACAGGACCCTTTCTTCCGGGGCATCAGCGTGTATCGGTCCTTTCCCTTTCCTGCCGTCCTTAATATTTACTCCTGTGCCTTAGGTTTTAAAAACTTGTTCATCCGTAAACATCTGGCCTGAGCTCCTACCGTGAGCCAGGCCCCGTTCCAGATGCCGGGGCGAGAGCAGCACAGAAAACAGTCCACGTTGCGTGTCCACAGAGCTTATACGGGCGTGGCCGACAGCAGCCATCCTCAGGACCGTCGGAGAGTGTCAGATGGGCAGAACAACGAGGAGACTCTGTCTGTAACGAGGTCCGCTGCGGGGGGAACCGGTACCCACGAGAATGGCCAGGAATCTGCGCTGACTTCTCCCTGGGCCCACGGTTCCACCCTGGGGACAGGGCGCGGGCCGGGGGAGCTGTCCTGTGCGGCAGACCTGGCTGGGCCCGCTCTCCCCCTGGGGGGCCGGCGTGGAGGGGACACGGTGCCTGGCCGGCAGCCTTGCCTCTCGCCCTGTCTGACCTGCCAGCACAGCTCGGAGTCCGCCGGCCGCAGCACCTCCCTTCCCTGGGCCCATCTCAGCGGAAAGTCCCCGTGGTGGCCTTCGCTCGCCTGCAGCCATTCGGGGGAGGGGATGGAATGTAGCCCCAGCTCAGGACGGTGTCAGAGTGCAGAGCACCCTCAGTAAGCAAGGTACCGGGGTAAAGTCTTTAGGTGCCGTGGGGAAAAGCGAGGGAGGGGAGGAGGGGTCCCTGGGGGTGGGGACTGGGATCTTCGAAGAGTTCAGAGGAGGGCTCACGGAGAAGGTGCCGTTCGGTGGAGAAGGCGAGGGGGCGGGACGTGCTGACACCTGGGGGGGATGGTCTCGGCACCCGTGCGTCCTGGGGCCTCACCCCTGCTGTGCTGGACAGCCTTCCGCAGGCTCCCGGGGTCCCCACCTCCCGTCTCTCCTCCCTCAGGTAACTCCCTTCCCCCGAGTGGCAGAAGGATGATGCGTCACTTCTGAGATGACATTCTTTCAAAGGGCTCTGACTGGAGTCTGGCTGCCGTTGTTCTTCATCTCGCCTCTTAGGGTTGTTTGCTCTGACGGAGCACGTTGCCGCACGGGAGAGGCCTCCGGCCCACGGCTGGTGGGGACCCGAGGCTGTTCTCAGACCGGCAGCCCACGAGGAGCGGGGTCCTGCCAGCAGCCGGGGAAGTGGGTGTGGAGGCGGGGCCCCAGGGGCCCCAGGCCCTCCTGTCCTGGCGGCCGAGAGACCCTGCCCCGTGGGACCCCCCAGCCTCGCCCGGATCTGGGTGCCACCCAAGGAGGCTGTGAGAGACAGTGTCATTGAAGTCAGTGCATTCGGGGCTGACTTGTTACTCAGCAACCAGTAG